TTAAGGGAAATTTAACCTCCTTCTTTCTTATATACAAAGTGTAGATGTGTCAGCTATTAGGGCGGGGCAATTACCATTTTTGGGTAAGTGTTTCGTATAGGCACCGTTTTACGTCAACACTATTCTAGTTAATTGTACTAATCAGTGAACGAGATGACTGAACGATACTGATATAACTGTCGGTAAGTAAGTCTAAGATAGTAGTAGAATAATGCAAGCTACTTCATTACCCTAGTTTTCGTCACACATCATGTAGGTGAAGATTTCTATTTTAAACAGAACATTTTTCTTAGAACTAAAATAACCCCTATAGTATTACACTCGCAATGTAATCCGCACGTTCCATTTTGTTGTGGACGGATATAATTGGTAGGCCCATTTTAAATCTGAGTTTATCTTGCGTTGTTATTTTGATATTGTTTTGTTTTTAATTTAATGTTAAGTAAATTAATCTGAGTACTATAGCGTTGATTAAAGGAGTGATAAATTAACGCTTGATTTCCAACATATCGGGGTGCTATATTTACAGACCTTCATCAGGGGAAAAGTGTGTTTTTGCATAATACAAAGGTCATTTGCCAGATTTTTGGGTCGTTTATACTAGCAGTTATTTAAACCATCGCCTTATGTGATATTTCTTGCACTCATACACAATATCAGAGACCTGCGTGTAATCAAAGAGATTTTATACATAGAGGGATCATTCCGTATCAAATCACCCGAAACTTTAAAAAAAATAAAATAGTAAATCGTACCCAATTTAGTTTGGCTAAATATTGGTTTATATACTTATATTGCATGACATAATAATACTCCGAATTTTTAGCGTTATTGGAGTAACGGCTGTCGAGGTACGAACCATTCTACTTTGGTGATTTTGGCCAATATGGACAATTGACCCAATTGGTAAGAATTGCTAAAATGACTGCCAGTTGACAATTTTGTAATGAAAGGTAACTTTTAAGTCTATTGTAAAAGTAGAATGCTCATCTCTATTTAATACACTTTATACTAACACATAATGGAAAAATCCATTTCAGCAATATTGACCAAAAGATACGAACTCGAACTAGATTAATTTATGTGACTTGTTGTATATTTCAGGTTATTGGAACTTTGTTAACATATACTGTGGTTATGTTACAATTTTCTGGACCTTCAGAGAGAGCCAGTCGTGTTTAGCTCTTGCATAATACATCTTTAAGCATTCCTGCATTTTCCATTCATAAACAGAGTTACCCCCCTTTGTCGTGGGTTTTTTATCGTCTGCTACTATCACACGAGTTTATCGGCAAGGACACAGGCCTTTGCTGGCTCCCCAGTCACGTTGATATTAAAGGGAATGATCAGGCAGACTTAGCTGCCAAGTCTGCTTTAGATCTTCCCATATCAAAATTCCTTTTATCATTCACCGATTTTAAATCCCCCATTAAATTTTTTACATATGGCCGCTGGCAACGGTCTTGGGATCTTGCAGACACAAACAAACTTCATCACATTAAGCCTCTCTTAGGAGACTGGCCAAACTCCTATAGAACCAACAGGAGGGATGAAGTTGTTTTGTGTCGCTCTCGAATTGGCCATACCTTTTTAACTCACATTTTCATTTTGAAGCGAGAGCCTCAACCGGAATGTGTTCACTGCCATGTTCCTTTGACAGTGAAACATATCTTGATTGAGTGCAAACATCTCAAGTATATTAGATCTAAATACTACCGTTGCCAGTCAGTACGTCAGCTATTTGTTCAACCGGAGCTATATGATAAATTGCTAACATTTTTAAAAGAGACAAACTTTTATTCTCAATTTTAATTGTATATATTTAATCATGTATATCGTTTTAAATATTTATGTATGTAAAAGATTTGTTATATTTGTTTTTAATTAATATATTTTCTGTGATATTTGTTTTTATTTACATATATAAATTCATTTATGTGATATTGTTTTAATTTGTCTCGTTAGATTCACCATATGTTTGGCGCAATATAGCCCGGTTGGAGCTGACGTGCCATTAAACAACATTTCATTTCATTTCATTTGTCGTGGTTTTCTGTTCGGATAAGCTGCGATCAAGCCAAGGCAAGCTTAATTATATTACAACAATGGTCCTCACATTAAAACAGAACATATTTGTTTGACTATTAAGCTGTAAGTGAAGGGGTCTGTTTGGTTCGATGTGCCTTTAAAAACATTTGTATGGAATTCCCAAATAACCAACAGAAAATGCCGTTTCAAATCGTGGTTTAAAGCAGGTGACACTGAACAAAATATTTGTCATATATACATATTGTTGTTTCCATTTCTGCTTTATTAAAATTTATTTTAATCACGGAATCAATGATTCTTTTGAAAAGTCAAAGTATCGATGATATAAACTATTCGTCAAGAGCAATAGAAATTGAACAAAAGCAGAGATAATTCTAACAGTCCGGTTGAAAAATTGAGCCAGAAGTCACGGGATGGAAACTAAAGAAACCTATAACTACCATTCGTTATTTCAACTTTTCGCCCCTTCAAAGCGCGAAAGTCGAAAAGTAGAAGTTACGACAAAATGTGAGGCGACAGCACGCTATACAAGCCAAAATCGACTCGAAAATAGGAAATTAAAATATAAACACACACTGCGATAATAGCGCCCCTCGTTTTTTTCCTAATTTCTAATTGACTTGTGTAGTTTCCTATCCACAACACATTTATCCGATCTAGTACACTAGCACTGGGTTTATTAATCCGGGTTCGATAACATTTTTTTTTCTTTTTTAAATTGCAATTACGTAAGGATTTATTTTCCCAGACTGATTTATTACGAATAGTGTCAGGGATAGGGCTTTGGGGTCAGCATTTTCAAAAAGCAGAACATTGCAGTGAAACTGAGATATTCAATTTTTCAAATAATATTTTATCTTAAACAATGTACATGGCATAGCCATAACACAGCCGGGTATTACTTAAGTGAAAAACAAAAAGGAAATAAAGAAATCCATACTTATAAATGCCCCCCCCCCTCCTCCCTTCAATAACATTATTCAGTAAAGAGTGGTATGCTTACTATTTCTAGAAAACCCGATGCAATTTCACGTTTTGACATTACACATATAGATAACACAATTTTTCTTTGCGTTACTACCTGTACTATTGCATTTGTGTGTCACTACGTAGGCAGACTCAATGAAGATCCGATCAAGCTTTAGGGTTATTTTATAGGACTTGGTCTATAAAATAGATGATGTAAAGGGTTGACATTTAGGCCCTATTGTTTTGCATTGTCATGTTATGTCTCCCAGTGTCGTTAACCGCATAGAAATGAAAAGAAATTGGGGTTAACGTCCAATGGCTAATGAAGACGGGCATGCGCCATGCATTGTGCTACAAGGGAAATTTTTCCCGGGCAGCGGCACTATGGGCTACTCTTATATCGAATTCCAGCTGTCAAGGGATCTTTTAAGTGCGCGCCTATGTATACGCGGGACCTCTGTTTTTCGTCACATCCGAACGACTAGACAGCTGACCTTGTTTGACTCTCCGTTCTGTACCACTGACAGGGAACACACGCCGGAAAATACTGATAAATTTTTCTCGCCCAATGCAGGAATCGAACACGCGACCTCCAGGCCAGCGAGCCAGCGTCTTACCCAATGTGCTGTGGTTGAAATTTTTCCCGGACAGCGGCACCACGGCCTACTTTTATTTTGATTTTTTAAGTGTTCTTTACGTGCATGAGAGAGAGAGAGATGGGGTTTAACGTCCAGGCGGCACAAACTAGGTCATTTCGGGACTAACATATGGAATTTTATTTCAATAATTCGCTTGCGCATAGGGTTCTTTAGCAGTGGAAGGAAACTGGAGGACCCGGAGATAACTACCAGGTTGGACAGGCGACCTTACTCCTTGTCACGTACTCTCGGGGAATCACTATGGTAATGACGGGCATGTGCAAATTGGATGTCAAGAATGCTTCTCTATTTAGATGGTCCATATAGCATAAATCTGCTATTGGAATTTATGTTCACTACAGCGTGATGACTCGGGTATGAAACAATCAACGATGTCCTGGTGACCATGGTATGTTTCAAATACGGATTTGGTGTAGTTTAGCAGCGATTTGGATGTTAATAATGATTCTCTATTAATGGAGTGCACATAAATGGTACATGTTGTAGCATAACTCCGATACAGGAAGGTATGCTTACGACAACTAGGGTATAAAAAGTTTACGATATAGAGTATTTATACGGAGTCCGGGTAAGGGACGCAAAATAAAAAAAATATCTGGCGCGCGCCGGATAATAACTAGCGCCTAATTAATGCCAGAATATGAGGCAAGGCAGCGGCACTGCATCCTACTCATATTTCGAATTCCAACTGTCAAAAGAGAGAGAGAGAGAGAGAGAAATGAGGTTTAACGTCCACTTGAAACAAACTGGGTCAATTCGGGACTAACATATGGTTTAATTTTTTATTTCAATAATTCGCTTGCGCGTAGGGGTCTTTAGCAGTGGGGGGAAACCGGAGGACCCGGAGAAAACCACGAGGTTGGACAGGCGACCCTTCTCCTTGTCACGTACAACCGAGGATTCGAAACCACGCCAGCTGACTCAATGGCAGGCCTTATGATACAGCGCACTGCTAACCATTGGGCCATCCAACACTCCAAGTGCCAATTGTTCTGTTACGTGCACATCAGTGTGTACATAGGACATCGGGTTTACGAATGATTGTTAGTCTATTTTGATCCATGCGTGTAGTGGCGAGAACCTGAGCAAGTTATTATCTGGCGCGCGCTACTTAGTTATCCGGTGCGGACCGGATAATATGTGGCGCGCGCCAGATATATTTTTTTTATTTTGTGTCCCTTACCGGGCTCCGTAGATTTACGCTTATCTAATATTACAAGCTATGCTAAGGCATAATATGCTGCAGCATGTACCATTTATGTGCACATATATCATGTGATTTAATATGTTTGGATACACGTTATCTGAAGAACTATAATTTAAACTCGTAGGACTGCGAGCAAAGAAACGTGTAGAATGGCTTTACCAGATGATGAAATGGCTGAAATAAGGTAATAATATAAACTGAAAATACCTTCATCTGCATTGCTAAAATTATTATACATTATTATGTATTTTTACCCTTTTTCAACTGGCATTAATATTGCCATCGTTATAACTGTAAATTTAACATTGCATGTTATTTCACAGTCTGTAATGTATCTTTACCTCTAGCTATATACATCCAAGGTAAAATTACATATCTGTAAATGGAGTACATGTAAAATTATCATATTAATTTACATAAATGTGTACAATAACATTTAATACAAAAGAATATTGTGTATTTTCACAGAGTTTATGTATTAATACCTCATAACTATTGTAGAATTATATATTATGTAATTTGTCCCCGCTTGGCTAATTAGTCCTAGGTTCTATCCTGGCGAACACAGAAAGTTTTGCGGAACTTTCAGCCGAGCACGTAACACAACATTCGATAATGTAAAGAAATTGTGTGAGTTAGTTGTATTTTACGTCCGCTTCCATCGAGGTGATATCGCAGACAATAAAGAAATTAAATGAAATGGGGTTTAATGTGCTACTGTTCTGCTCCTTACAATGGAAGAGTAGGTGGCATGACACCGTCCAAGCAAAATGCCCCACACATCTCAATGTATGGCATATGCATGTCTTTATTAGCCAGTTCGGTGCATTCAGATTTTGAATAACCTATGTATCTTAAATGGACTAAAGTGACTGACAGAACAGTCAATATTTTGCACAAAAGGGGGAAATAACCGATGTGACCACTATTTGACAGTAAATTTACAATTTCCTGTAAAAATAATACTTCAAACGGCATTTCTGTTAATATACAGCTCATATAATGTAAACTAACATATGGTTGTATTACTACATTAAATTTGATGTAATTTTACATAAGCCTTGTATTCATATGCATCGACATCGTTTTAAATGTACAAACCATGTGATTTTACAAATCCTGCACTGTATTTTTACTATACTTATAACTGTAAATATACATATAATTTTAACAGTGTGATGGGGATTAGAATTGCGCATCGGACTGCAACTTTTGGGGTTATGACCATTGACTTTTACGCGTAATTGTAAAATATTTACGAAGATTTTGGATCCTCCTGGAGCCCACTCCTTTTGCAGTGCCACGGCCAATTCTTGCAGTGTTGTCGGTTGACGTCGACGAACACGTCTCCCGATCAAATTAAACGTAACACACTAAAGCACAAATACCCTGAACAGTAAATCTTATGCAAGAACCGATAGGAAAGCAAACATGGATAAACCAGCACGCGGCAGTTTTCATCAACCCTTCCATGAAGTGTCAAATTTGACAATGAACCCCTCCCACGTGTATGGCGCTATTGCAGCTCAGTGGTTCTGTTGGGGCGATAAGGTCTTCATCTGTGAACATACTCTCAAAGCATGTCAAGTGTCCATGACTATTTATCTTATCGCAACCTGCATAGGTATTTGCATTTCAATATCCCCTACTTTCTTGAAGAGTATATATCAGTGGTGGATATAATTATAACCAGGTTATTTAAAATAGTACACGGTTCACGACCGATAAGGATAAGACAAACTGGTGGATACGGCAAATAGAGATAGAGAGAGAAAAGGGGTTTAACGTCCACTCGACACAAACTATGTAATATGGTTTAATTTTATTGCAATAATTCGATTGCGCGTAGGGGTCTTTAGCAGTGGGAGGAAACCGGAGGACCCGGAGAAAACCCACGAGGTTGGACAGGCGACCCTATTCCTTGTCACGTACATCCGGGGAAGCGAGACCACGCCAGCTGACTCAATGACAGACCTTATGATCCAGCGCGTACACGCTAACCATTCGGCCATCTAACCGATACGGCAAATATCACAGGATTCTATTAAGATATAGCATTGTTAACCGAAAGATAAGGTAAACCACTGAACTGCTGCTATAATTTACTCTGTTGGTGGCATGTGGTCCATTTTACATTCTCAAATCCGCAAGGGAGGGCGGAAGGAGACCCCCAGCGGCGTCAGCTACAGTTTCACGGTCGTGTGCTTCACCCTTTATCATCACATGGTCGGGTGGGGTGGGAATTCAAATAATGATATAGATGTGATATCACAATTAATAATGATATAGATGGGATAACAAAATTAGTGTGATATCACAATGAAATTGAATCACTATATGATCCTATTAATTCATAATAAAAATTGATGTCAAACGGGGAGTTGGACTTCTCTCTTTTAAAATGATCAGTGTGTATGTATGCCTACGTAATTTGGAGACGATGATGGCATTATGCATTGTCAGCTGTCAAATTTCCTTAACAGGAACCCAGCGAACTCCCCTCCTGCAAAAAATCCTGGATCCGCCCCTGAATCCACGTCCAAATTGTCAATCTCTTTAGAGACACGTGTCGAGCACGGTGTACGGAATGCCGACAAGAGATGCTTCGCACTTCTCTTTTAAGAATCGATTTGATCAAGAAATTGTCTTGACCAGAGATGTATGTATCGTAGTGAAGATGGGGTTGTTTTAAGATGCCTCATGTCCTATTCTGTCTTTTTATCAACGTTTGGAACGAAAAGACTCCAGATACTACATGTAACATTTAAAGACTGAAAATATTTCCCTGCTGTTAAATTTTTCATGAATATAAAGCCTAGAGCACATCGTGTTTTTGTTCTTCTGTAGCACCATGGGTCTTTCTGTCAGACGTAGAAAGCGGGCCATCAAATCCGGTCGCCACATCCTACGTATGACCCATGCATCTTTTCTTACTACATATCTTAGTAGCCTTGTGATCGTCTTTGCTTCCCCTTCACGTTGGGCATTTTCTTCTTCTTATCTATCAGTTAGTTAAGACGTTTGTCTTTCCAGGAATAACAATGCAACAGTTCGTTGTTACATTTTTTATATATCATAGCCGGATACATAGATACAAGCATAGTATAGATTACAATACTAAACTCATTCTCAAACACTAGCCAGCCAGACTCTACGCGAGTCTGCTGATAGAAATTGTTATATCTTTTCCATTCTGGAATCATGCTGCTGTCTGGCGAATTTTCACAAGTATGATAGTTTTGTAGCTTTGGGTTTTGGACCTTCAATTATCTAATTGGTCAAATATACTATTCAAAAAAAGTAGGGGATATTTGATTTTGGGGGCATAATACTAAAATATGCAAATGACTACGAAAAAAGTCTCTATAGAACCTAACAGAAGAAACATTTCCAGTTACATGTGACGCCCAAACGCACCAATAGCTACCGCATGGAATGCAGGTGATGCTTGGGATCATCATGGGGGTCCAACCCAAGATTTGCACGACTCTGACTTTGAATGATACAGTCATTGTGGCATTGAATTCCAGGGTGGAAACATCAGTTTAATTGTTTTAGTGACCAGAAAACAAATTTTGATATGCGTCGGCTTAACCAAAATGAAAGGTTACGTGCCCTTGACATGCTACAGATCGGCACAACACAGGCGGTTGTGGCGCGGACGATGAATGTTTCTCAGTCTGTCATAAGCAGGCTATGGTCCAGATACCGTGATACACAATCTGTACAGGACAGACCACGCTCAGGTCGACAACTCAAGCCCAGGATCGATTTATCCGTACCTTGGCCTTGAGAAATCGTGTCATCACAGCAAATCAGATCAGCGCTCGTCTTCAAACAGACACTGGTGTGAGAGTGAGTGGCCAGACGATTCGGAATCGACTGCATAGGGGTCACCTTCGCGCCCGACGTCCTCGCGTGATCCCTTGTTTGAGAGATCATCACATTCAGGCAAGACGTCGTTGGTGTAGGGATCGTCAACACTGGGATAATCGACGCTGGAGCAATGTGATGTTTTCAGATGAGTCAAGGTTCACTGTTGATTTTTTGGACAGACGTAGGAGGGTGTGGCGTTAACGTCATCAGACATGATCGATTTGGGGGTGGTTCTGTTATGGTGTGGGGAGGCATCACTGTTGCTGGAAGAACGGCTTTACATGTTGTTGCAGGGCGTGTTACAGGCCAGTACTACCGGGATAACATCCGTGTTGTGCCGTTTGCACGACGTCATGGCCGCCGTTTCATCTTCCAGGATGACAACGCAAGATGTCACAGGGCCAGGATCGTTACAGGTTACCTCCAACAACAGAACATCACCACATTACCTTGGCCAGCACTGAGTCCCGACCTCTCCCCCATCGAGCATGTCTGGCACATGCTTGGACAGAGGTTACGTCAACGTCAACAACGTCCTGCCAATGTCCAAGAACTTGCTGCTGCGTTGCAACAGGAATGGGACAATCTGGACCAAAATGACCTTAGACGTCTCATTAGGAGTATGCCACGTCGGATCAATGCTTGTTTGGCAAACAGAGGAGGATTTACCCGTTACTGACTTGGTTGTGATGATGTGGTAACTTTGCTGTTTGACCCCGCGTATCATTTTACCCTTATAATGGTCAGTCTGTGCCTTACTTAGTCTAACGATCATTTGGAATAAATCGATGAATGTGAACTTCATTTCATTTTGTCATTTGTTTCTTCGTCAGTTTCATTAGGTGACTTTAATAACACTTAAAAATCAAATATTGCCTACTTTTTTAAAATAATATATGATGTAAATAATTAGAGAGATTGGTTAATTGAGCCAAATGACGTTGAAACCCACCCTTAAATAGATAGTGGAAATTTACTGGAGAAATTCCCCACAAGATATCTGTTATCAACCTAGAATTGAATGCTTACCTCATTATGACTCTTTTTTATGTAACCCTCTTTCACTCATTCGCTAACTTGATTTAAGTACAAATATGTGAATCTATTAACTTGCCAGAGATATTAATTAATACAATATAATGATATCCTTAATTTAAAGAGCAAAAACTCTACAAAAGTCTTACACTTCTGCTTTCGAAATCACGAATACGTATGTGCGCTTACAACAGAATTGGGGGGACGCGTCACGGATTGCCACAGCTGGTCTAGTGTCCAATGAAATTGGCGGGCCTAAGGATGAAAATTTAGTTAAGGCGGACTAACACTTTGTAAGATCGGGTTGCGCTTACTGGTTTAACAAGAACGAGGGATTGCTTTCTCCCGCATACAGACACAGTGATCGATGTAAGCTTTCGGAATAATGAGCAATTCTATGTCGCCCGAGTGCTTTAGGGTTCAGCTGTAAATTAACCACTGGGTATTTGTGATTTATTTCAGAGACTGTAGACCATCGCAACAACCTCTCATTAGAAGTTATTTTAAAGGTTATAGTAAGGAACCATTACGTAATGAGACAATTGCCGAATTGTTAGCAGAGTCGTGCGATGGTGACCCTGAGAGAATTGTGTATAAAATACCAGAATTTGGTCAGTCAATGACAGCTCAACAAATAAAATCAAAGGTATATGTACATAATAACAAATCTATTAAGTAAATCTTAACCTTATTTACAATATTATTAAGAAGTACGTACTATTCTGCCCCGACTGGGTTATAAAATGAAGACAGGTATTTTTTTTAGAGCGTTTACTGAAGTTATCATCACATTGACTTGAAATTCACACACCAATCGAGCACACAAGTTTAATTATGCCTGATAATTACTTCAGGGCTGTAGCCCTTGATCAGGTTTTAGTTTCTTGTAAATGTTAATACGAATTGATTACAAACGCAGCTACCATCATGGACCTTTTGGACAACTTAGCTACTGTGGGTTATGTTTCGGCATTGCCTGACATCTTATCTTTTCAAATGCACTGCAACTATATCGATAAACACGTTATTACTTTGAACGATAACGACGATCTATATTTTATACTGGATTTTATTACATATGTCTTCTACTGGAATATATCTTCGACATCAATAACTAATTTTCTCTTTGGGCGTACAAAATCGATTTTTTGTATTTTCTTTTGTTGAATATCTCAATTAACTTGAAGTTTTATATTCCCCCAAAAATGAAATATTCAATCAAATGTCCCCATGCCTCTTATGACAGGCTATTGTAAATAAATGATGACATTATTCTATTTTCAACAATTTCATTAAAGGTCATTTTACACGATCATATATTTGTTCAGAAACTTATCAAACATTTGTGTGATGATGTTCGCACTTATTCAACGCTTTCATTATTTACCAACACCAATGATATCTTGTCATTTTGACACCCTTTTACAATTTTCAATTGTTTAATTTTTTGTAGAGTGATGAGGTGTCGAAAGGTTTACTTGGATTGAGAGTAACGAAGGGGGATGTTGTTATGGTAACGGGCGTTGTAACTAAAGATTTTTTTGCATTATTTCACGGCGTTGTAGGAATTGGGGCCATATTTTTTAATGTTAGTTTTTCTCTTTTTTGTTTATAAACCCATATTTCAGATGTATACATTACGATCTGATTAAATTGAAAGGTTCTTCGTTTCGATGTTTTATATTCCGTATTTGTTATTCTACCGGACTTTTACCGTTGTGTTTTGTTCTTATTTTTGTGTACCAAGAAACAGCCAATCAAAAATATAGTTATTTCAATCAGGCCAAAACATGGATAAATTTGTAAATTTACTAAAGTCTGATGCAGCCTGAACTGAAGCCTTTCAAAGTATATTATTCGGTCATATATATTTTAGACAAATAGAACTAAAGACGGAATATAGATAAATAAAATGAAATTGTCTAATATACATAAACGTGATTAATAATTGTGACATCCCCACGTTCTGTACAGTTTGGTTTGCAACATGTCTTCAAAAGCCGAGATTGAGCATGATGTAACATGTGAAGATAATATAATTTACAAAACTTAGGTTCGAAATGACAAACGGTAGCTAAACTCTTTGTTAACTGGTATATTCTTCTAATATTGATAACACCGGAAATTACCAGAATATTTAGAGGAATGTCTGTTGTAGTTATGTGGAACACACCAAAAAAAATGTTAGTCCCCATAGTCCAATTTCGAAGATTATGACTTTTTGTTCTATTTTTTTTCAGACATTTTTATTTCCACCTCGAGATCAATCGTTATTGAGTCTTCTAGATAAGGTAATTCACTCATCGAGAATCCCATAGTAATTTCTTTTATCCATAATAAGTACTTCAAGGGGGGAACGGCGGAGCGTTAAAGCAGAATTTTGGATATATGAAATATCCGGCCAACACATATAAAACAATTCTCAAGGAATTGTGCGTCAATAACACCCCGGCAATGCTTGTGGGGATAGTTAGCTATAAGTGTAGCGTTTATCTAAATTGTCTTTTTACTAACGACAACAAATAATACAGCTTCTTCATCCTATAGGTCCAACCCAAGGTATTAATATATTGCTGCAAAGAAGAAGACGATCCTGGGATGACAGCATTACGCCATCTTTATATTTCTTTAGAACCAAGTTGTTACAAACCGTAAGTAAAGCGGAATAAATACACCATTTTGTTTTCATTTCTGACACAATAACGGCAACGGATATATCTGTGTGGTAGGGATTGCGGGAGTTGATTGAAACATTCTAAATTTGTGACTATATTATTATATTTAAAAGGCTAATTGGTTGATACCATGCTATATTTTTGTCTAGTCGTCTCTGGTTCCATTAGAGTCCTATCGCACAGAATCCACGCTAAAATGTTTCCGAATTAATTTGGGGTAAGTAACCGTTATGCTAGGTTCCCACTGTCGTGTGATGCGTTACGACAGGATTACCCCTAATGAGCCCACGCCCTGGTACGTGCCGATACGTTCGGATAAGTTTCGATGCGATCAACACGATTGCTATATAGCCAAACCCAATATATGGAGTGAACCTGGAAATTGTATGCAAAGTCTTTTTTCATTAATTGATTTTAGTCGGGTGAACCTAGGTGTACAAGGAAATGAAATGAAATGGGGTTTAACGTCCTACTGTTCTGCTCCGAAATGGGCTAATGAAGACGGGCATACGTCATACACTGTGCTATGAGGGAAATTTTGCCCGGTGTGCGGCACTACGGCCTACTCTTATATCGACTTCCAACTGTCAAGGGATCTTTTACGTGCACGCCAATATGTACACGTGGCCTCGGTTTTTCGTCCCATCCGAACGACTAGACAACTGTTCTTGTCAGGCCTTCCGTCCTCCATCACTGACAAGGGGGGGGGGGGGGCACGCCGGAAAATCTGGATGAACTTTCTCGGCTAATCCAGGGATCGAACACCCGACCTCCAGGCTAGCAAGCCACCGTCTTACCCACTTAGCCATCGTGCCCCCCCCCCCACCCAGATGGCGTACAAGGCGGACCCTATTTCAAATAATCCCCTATAACCCCCATACTATTTAGTCTAGGATTATAATTTTGGTGTCTAACCGTATTATTCTCGGTGTCAAGGAATACACTGAAATCGTTCATTATGTTTTGGGGTGATGAGATGAAAGTAGAATCAAAAGACAATATTGCCCACAAACATACGGTTAGACACCAAAATTAGCATCCTAGAATAAATACTGTGATAGTTATAGGGGATTAGTTGAAATGTCGGCCATCTTGGACACCATCTTGAATTTCTCAAAACGCCCAAGGGTGACCGAGGTTCACCCGGCAGATTCTAAAAGTCAATTATAAAAAGAACTTTGTATACAATTTCCAGGTTCAGCCCTAGTTCTGCAGGACTAATAAACTGATCTCAATATATCATAAGACTTGACAGGATCACCACGATTACCCCGCTATTAAAACCACGATTTCTATCGTAGCGCGAATCGTGATCGTGGGAACCTAGCATAAGACCGGTATTTTTTCTCAGCCTGAATTAACATTTAATAAACGGTTAGATTCAGTCATATATAAAAAGAAGCCCGTAAAAAATTTGCCAAAGACTGACATGTTTATAGGATGCCGAACGGAAATGAACCATTTTGGACTGATATTCCATTTAGAGATGCAACAATATTGCAGCTTGCAAGGATTTCAAAATACTCCAAATGATCTTTGAAGACACATTTTAGTTTAGATGCTAAAAATCTCTTTATTATCAATTTGACTAGATAAAAGGTTCACAGAAAATGTCTGACTTTGTTACTTATAACGACAGTATAGCCCCTGGGCCCTTATTCACGAAAACTTAAACTAAGTTACAACCGAAATTTTAAGAAATACTGCAACTTCATTGGATATATGCAAATTGATTTTACTGGTCAGCCAATCGAATTGCAGTATTTCTTAAAATTTCGATTGTATCTTAGTTTAATTTTTCGTGAATAAGGGCCCAGGGCGATATATTTTAGTGTTAATCTGTTTTGATAACAGATTTAATGCATGAGACGGGTTATTTTGTTCTGTTACGTAACATTTCTGTAAAAGAGGTGTATTTTAAATTTAGCAATGATTTTGCAGTGAATTTTGACTACTGACGCTCACAAAATAATACTTGTAGGTCTCAGATAATCATATTCTCTGAAAATTACCAATCGAGAGATGAAGAAATGAAATTGTAAGTTATCTTTTTGATTAGCTCATATCTACTTAAGATGAAAGGACAATGTCGTTTTTAAATCTCCTTTTTAATGTGAAACATGAACTCTATTTTATAGCAGAGCGACGGTGGCTCGGTAAGTAAGAACTGGCGCACCAACCTGGAGGTGTTGGGTGCGATCCCAGTGCTATTCGAGATTGTCCAGTGGTGCAGGACCGATGGTATGGCAAGGACATTGATGTAGTGGTTCGGTTTGGATGGAAAACCGAGAGCCCTAAACACAATGGCCACACGTAAAAAGAACCCTTGTCGATGGGAACTTGGTGAAGAGCGGGTGAAAATGCCGCTGTCCGGATAATAACCCCCCCCCCCCACAACACACTGCATGTCTTATGCCTGTCTTCATTAGCCCGAACTCTGTGGAGATGTAGGACGTTAAACCCCTTTCAGTTTCATTTGTATCAAAAGACAATATTACTAAATGGGTATAGTCATTAATGTATTCCCATGGGCGTGATGCGATCACACGCTTTTGTATGACAAGAAAAAGAAAGTAAACAGAAATGGAGTTTAAAGTCCACTCGACACAAGCTAGGTCATTTCAGGACTAGTGTGTCAAGAAGTAGCGTCGATTAACCGGTTCCCCACCCACCACCCCACCGTTAAAGGCGACTTTAGCCTCTTTTCATGTATTTACATATGGAAATGCATGCAAGTAATGCAGTATACTCCATAGTCCTAAGTAGATCTAATTATGGTAAATAAAAACGAAAAGTTTGAAAATAAATCGGAAATGCAACAATAAATCAAAACTTATTCTAATAAATAAACATTTGGGTTTATGAAAATCACCCTATATGCTGGGTGTTTCATATTACCAATGGTGAAACAAAAGTGAAGCATTCTCTATTGCTATAAGCTAGATTCCATAAGGAAACTGGGGGAAAAAATACTATTTGTAACTGATTCTGTTTCACACGAGTACCATGTATATGGATCCGAATCACAGGTCGGGAAATGTTCTCATGGACATTTAAAATAGGACATTTCGATTCTTTACTATCAGGTAGACACGGGAACTCGGCATTTCGTCCCATGGGAACATCTAGACGCCTTTCCTTGCCAGTTGTCATACAGCACTGGCAAGGGGTAAAGCTATATGTATCTTAATATACCAGGACATAATTCATTATATTTCAGAACCTCGTGGTTAACATTCCAAGATTTTATTACCAATAATACTCCTATTGATGATGCTCATCTTGCCACAGTGAAGAAATCTGTTGTACCGAATGATACTGCCTATTTACTATCTTCATCAGTAAGTCCAAGTAGATTAAACGGATAAATAAAAAACTCAAACCTCCATAGATATTATGTTAAAACTGGCATTAGCAGAACGACTGCTATACTAACGAAGATAACAAAATATATTCGTTTGTCCTACAAATGAAGTATATTCGAGCAGGGTGATAAAAACTCATACGTAAGAGTGGACTTTTAGATACTCACTCCTGATAGGTGTTAGAACAGTCTTGGTACCGATTTTGACGAGCTTTGTCACAGTTTCTATATTGCTCTCTTCTGGGTTCCTCGTCATCTTTGTCAGCTTAAAGATGAATGATGTAAGAGCTAAATCTGCCTATTGCAAGTCTCTATGCTGGCTTCAAAAGTTATATAAACTCTTTATTTAGACATTTCGTGGGCTGAGGATTAACTGGTTCTATGTCAACTTTTCACTAAAAATGAGATATTTGCATAAAAACTATCTTTGAAACAACAGGTGCTATGTACTGTGAGCATGATTTAATTCAGAAGCGCCCTCTATGTTAAATTGCCAAAAAAACACATAGGCCTTTGTTTAAATTTCAATCCATTCCCCATCACAAAGTTCTATGTCCACTTTCACCAATATATATAATTCTTGGGTCTGGCGTCATGTGGTCTTTTGACAAAATGGCGGAAAGAGACACCAGCAAGGCTGTATTTCTAGAGCAGAAAACTCGCAGTAAGGCCCTCAGAATATTGTCCCAGAATGAAATTCTTAATCTGTTAGAAAGGTATTGATTGTTAGACAATTTAAGACAGCTTAATAGGCCTGATGTTTTGTTGAAACCCTATTTTTATTTTGAATGATCGTACACAGTAGTTCAGTGCATAATGATGGAGATGGAACTAGTTGACATCAAGGCCCAAGGGATCTTTTACGTACATGCCAGACACGAGACCTCAGTTTTTCGTCCCATCCGAACGACTAGACAGCCGCTTCCTACAGTATAGCGAGCCAGCGCCCTACCCACTTGGCCACCGTGGCTCCCTACCATCATAGGCTTACAGTGCAATATATTTATGATCTTTATCAAATGTACATTTCCTTGGCGGTAAGCTAAGAGTGGGTTTACCTGTCCAATCAGTGGACAATTCTTTCTCTTCGTTAAATTTTGGGCCGGAAAAGGCTTTTTGTTATGTTTAATGCTTGAGAGTGTTATGTGTTACTTTTTCCGAAATCATATTTTTGTAGCTATTCAATAAATTGACACTCATGGTTAATCTTCGTTAGGCGAAAATGTAGCATGGATTTCAATAGTAATTTTCATGAATTAAACCCATTTTGTTCTCCTGTAAACCAGAGTAACTTTAGACCTAAGGGGTTACTTTGGCATAGGCTAAATATGTTTTACACAAATAGAAGGATTCTGAACCTGTGACAATGTAATCCCTGTGCTAGAGTTGCCCCAGTTTACGGGTAGTTTTTGTTTTAAACAATGAGGCTGGATATAGAACTATGTGATTTGGACCGTCTTGAGACACAAGGTTCTATCTCCTAGATAGAACTTTGTGCCTGACAAATTCATAAAATTTTGAAAGTCACAAAGTCCCATCTCCATTTATCGTATTTCGGTTTGACTAGATCGGATACCACTGCATTACAAAGCACCACACACCCTGCCGGCTGCTTATATTGTCAGCTTCCACAACAATGAAAATTTGGTAAAAATTCAACGAGTTTCAAAATACAGCGATGCAAAACTTCACACCCATTTTTCTCAGTTTCACAAAAAGTGGACATAGAACCAGTTAATCCTCAGCCCACGATTTATTTACATGACAAGCCTATAATCAACCCGATTGGCAGACATTTACACGGATTAAAACACGGTCGCCAATTTCAAACTATTATAGCAAAAACGGCCAGCTCTTTATGTAAATCTGGCAAAATGCATCTTTAAAGGAGTTTCGTAGAAATAAACTTCATAAATTGTCATATTTGAAGTTTCTGTTTTCTAATCAAGATATAAGCAATCCATCAGATAAAAATGTGAACTTTCTGTAAAATCTGCCATTTGCACTAACTTGGGAGAAGTTTTCATAAACCTGGTCATTATTGCTCTAATGACATTGTAAAGTATTGCTTATGAATACGCTTGTGATGAAAATTACCAATGGATGGTTGAAATTTGCATGAATTAATAAGACCAATAACCCTACAAAATTTAAACAATTATTGTGTTTGACTTTATGAATGCTCTATAGGAAAAGGTTATGCATTGTTTAGACCAGTGATTCCCAACCTTTTTTTGCCAACGGCACACCTTGGAACACATGAAAACATAGCGGCAAACCTGGCTAAATATATATATATGAAAAATATTTGAAATTTGCAAAATAAAAACATGGCAAGTGAGACGGCATACAACCGTAAACAGAGAGTAGTCATAGAAAAATAGAATGACTCAAACTAAATAAAGAAAAACTCAGCTATGAACTTATCAGTAGACACCAGCGAATACTCAATTGGGATCATGTGGTTTTTCGTATTATCTTGGTCGCGAGATCTTCCTAAGTGTGCCCCGGAATTTGGAACGGCACACTAAGATAATATGAAAAACCACATGATCCCAATTGAGTAATCACTGGTTTAGACGAAGGGTTCGAATTTGAAAAATTTCTGATAATTTCTTATAGTTAATGCAGTTGATTGCCCTTGTTGACGTTGTTAACATGACAAAGACTTTTTTTATTATCCAAAGATTCACAATGCGATTTGTGGACCCCATCAGGCGGCTTAGCTGATATGAGAATATGTTTTATTTTTTGCCTGTTGGAAACTTAAAAATATTTATTGCTTTATTCAGTTGGTCCATAATGAAACAAATACAATCAAAGACTTGCATTTAATAACAATAAACAAATGCAATCAATGAATTATGTTAATAAACCAAAAAAAACCTCATTTACAAATTGATTAATGATGTTTTAATGGGAACAATTGCGTTAATAAAACAATAACCTCATATACAAATCGATTAATGATATATTTTAAAGGGAACAACAGGCGATGTTAGATTATCTTGTATAAGTCATTATACATTAGTCAATTACAGTCTATTTTGCGAATTGAGAAGAAATCCTTTTAATAAGGTGAGTTCCGTTGAAAGGTTATTTTTTGAAAATCTATTATTAAATTATACCGACCTGTGCAGAGAAGGTTACGTCGTACATAGTATATACACATCGATATTAACAACCATTGAGGGCCACGGTGGCTCAGTGAGTAAGACTAAAGCAAAATAGATATATTTCTAATGATATATCAACCGAAAATATGCTTTTGTTAAATGTATGTACATGTATATGTATGTATGGGTGCTTGTCCATGTGTGTATATATTTATTTGTAAAAGTAAATACCTTTTGGGATTATCCTTGTAGAATGAAAATGAATTTTGTATTTTGTATATTTCATGAATAAATAGATCTACAAGAAACAAAAAGGCGTTGGATCGCAAGCCTGCAGGTCCCGTGCTCGATCCCTGCGTTGGCCGAAAAAGTTCATCGGGTATTTCCGGCGTCGACCCTCCATGTTAATGGTGCAGGAGAAAGGGCCCGGCAATTGACAACGTATAGTCGTTCGGATGGGACGGAAAACCGTGCACAATTTCCCTTATGGCACACTGTATGGCGTATGTCCGTCTTCATTAGCCCAGTCTGACCAGAACAGTAGGATGTTAAACCCCATTTCATTTCATTTCATTAACAACCATTACCTTCGGTTAACGTTTTTGAAGCTTTGTCGTTTTGTGAGTTGTCTCCCATGGGCAGGGTAGTGGACGATCACGGTCAATCCCCGTGACACGTCCAGATCTGTTTATGTATGGTACAGTTCTTCTTCACTTCCATTTCAAAGACTAGGGATTTCAGAGACTTATCTTACGGTTATCTTTTGAGACGTTGCCGTAGTTCGGATTCTTAAATCTGTCTCTCTGATAAATTCAGAAAATGAAATGAAATGGAGTTAACATCCTGCCTATCTGTACTAATTGGGCTAATGAAGACGGACATATAGACTATGTATTTTGCGTTATTGGAAAGTTTACCCGGATAGCGTCGCTACGACCTACTAAATTAAATAGCCGGACGATAATTAAAATGAAATTATTGAAGACGGAGTATGCTGTGCCTTGTGCTGCGTCATTTCGAATTGTCAAGGGTTATTTTATACCGAAAATGTGCACGGGGCCTCGGATATTTATTTGTTCAATCCGGTTTTGCTAAGATCCCTACGCCACGCGAATTATTGAAATTAACGTATATTACTTCCGTTTCTCCGTTTAAATTATCTTGAATGGCAAAGTTATTTCAATACAAATTTTCACTATTATATTCGTCAGTATCTAATACTTCTAAATATACCTTACAACAGAAACAGGTGATAGCTTTTCTTAATCCAAACGCCGATGATCTGCTTGCTGTCTTTGAAAGTTTGATTGTGTTGGCATTTTGGCGGGAACAAATGGTAGGTGTGTTTCTTCCATCGTCAGCTAATTTTGGTGAAGGATCCAGTGATGTCATACTGAAAATAATTGAAGACATGCGGTATGTTGTGTAAAAATAATTACCATGTCTGTATTGGGTTTTGATTTCCACGAATCGCCTCCAATCTCAACTTATAGATAATACAATCAGCGCCTTTTAAAGTCCCAATATGCCACTGTAGCCGCGGTGGCTCACTAACCTGGAGGTCGAGAAAGTGTGGTTTCGCATTATCAGTGGTGCAGGGCGATGGGATGGGGGGGGGGCATTTTCTAGTCGTTCGGATGGCGCGTAACTGTAACAATATTATGGCCTCGACCTAACATTGGTTTCAAATTCATAAACAGGGTTTATTAGATAGGACAGTAGGTAATGCTACGGAAATAGATGGTATATTTATATATTCAAATGACCTATCGGTTATAAAAATACAGAGACTGGCTAGTATTGCCTTTTTCATTTTGGTTATCAAAGACACACCATATACATGTCCATTTCAATGTTGAGAAATTAATACTTTAGTCAGTCTCTGGCGTAACACAATTATGGGCGTTCGCATCTTTTAAAGAGAGAGCGGGCTGTGATTCATGAGGGCTCGCTCAGACTGGCATACCAGCTATATCAAAGCCAGAAAGTCAGTTACTAATTTTGAGAGCGGGTAGATTTGTGACTAACAATTTGCCTTAATCTAAAGATTAAAGTTCCACCAACGAACTAGAACTGAAGTGGTCTGTTGTATTTGTTCACGAGAGAAAAGCACAATGTTAGAAGTCAAAGACGAAATCTCAATTTAATAACTGGCGATCCAGTAATACTATAAAACCCACGGTGACTTACAGGTAAAAGAACCACCCGTGGCACAATGTTTGACCCATGTCTATCTTCATTAGCCGAGTCGGTGCAGAAAAGTATGATGTCAAATCCCATTTCATTTCATTTCCAACATGCCAAAATACAGATAAAAGGCCATACACAATCAAAAGCATTTACAATTATTCGAAATTTCGAATCAAACCAGTGTAACTTAAAGAAGCTAAATCGCCATTCTTTGGCACCTAGAAATGGACACAAATTGGTCGCAACGCATATAATAATGTATTATGAATGTATTTAAACTGATATACATTCAATCGTTTTTGATTTTACTTCCATTTCTAATCCGTTATGTTCGGCGAAACACGCAAAGAGTCCAAATTGAATGGCATTGTTTGGTGTCTTGTTATACTAATCTACACCGGCAGTATTCGCCTGTGGAGTATGTTTAGCATCGTTCATGGAGTCGCCTCATTACAAATGGCATTCTGGCCCGCGATTCTTAAATATTGGATATTAAAATCTCATCTTTTCATGGTAAGATAACAACATCAATGTTGATTTAATTTGACCAATAAGTAGCGTTTGCAATGTCGAGGACTGTGGATGATATTGAGTTAAAGACTTGCCTCTTTTAAAGATTTACAGTAGTTTATTTATTTCATACCTTTTTGTGTCCTAGCCATATAATTTTGCTACCTTTGCCATACAAGCCTTGACATTTAACAAAGAATCAACTCGTAACATAAAAATAACAGTCCTTTCATTAAAATAGTACTTTATTTTAATTTTGAGATATTTGAAAGGTCCAAAACCCGGCTTATCTCCGATTACTTATGGCTTGGTATTTGTATTTGCTTGCTGGCTGATATATTTGTCAATTTGTTACTGATTTTTTTTATATTTTGATGTAGGACAAATTTCAACTTTTCAAATGTATTTCCGAACAAACTGTCATCTAGAGCCATACGATGTACTTTAACAAAATATCGATGGACGATGAGAGAGTTTAATCAGTAATGAGTAATCAGTCCATTAAGAATGAAATGTACTCCGCTCTAAAGCCCCTGTGTCAGCATTTACGATCAGATTATTGCAAAATATATTAAAGTCAGTAAGACATTGAAATATATCTCTCGCTGGACTGACTAATGTATAAATATATTGTCTATTTCCAGCATTACCACACTACAAGTATATCCTGCATGGTTATATTATATATATCATAATTCAAATCGTACAAAGTATGATTTATCATCTTTACGATCAGGTAATTAAACAAATATATGTATTTGATATGAACTAAATCTATCGTGTGCGGATCTCTGTGTGAACTAAATCAATCGTGTGCGGCTCTTTGTATGAACTGTATTTATCGTATGCGGCTCTTTGTATGAACTGTATCTATCATATGCGGCTCTTTGTATGAACTGTATCTATTATATGCGGCTCTTTGTATGAACTGTATCTATTATATGCGGCACTTTGTATGAACTGTATCTATCATATGCCTCCCTTTGTATGAACTGTATCTATTATATGCGGCTCTTTGTATGAACTGTATCTATCACATGCGGCTCTTTTTACGAAATGTATCTACCGTATGCGGCTCTTTGTATGAACTGTATCTATCATATGCGGCCCTTTGTATGAATTGTATCTATCATATGCTGCTCTTTGAATGAACTGTATCTATCATATGCGGTTCTTTGTATGAACTGTATCTATTATATGCGACTCTTTGTATGAACTGGGGATCACGGTGGCTAAGTGGGTAAGACGCTAGCATTGGCCGAGAAAGTTCATCCAGATTTTCCGGCGTGGTTTCCCCTTGTCAGTGATGCAGGACAGAGGGCCTGGCAAGGACAGCTATCTAGTCGTTCGGATGGGACGAAAAACCGAGGTCCCGTGTACACATTGGCGTGCACGTAAAAGATCCCTTGGCAGTTGGAATTCGATATAACAGTAGGCCATAGTGCCGCTGCCCGGGCAAAATTTCCCTCATAGCACACCGTATGGCGTATGCCCGTCTTCATTAGCCCAGTTTAGGAGCAGAACAGTAGGACGTTAAACTCCATTTCATTTCATTTCTTTGTATGAACTGTATCTATCGTATGCGGCTCATTTTACGAACTGTATATATGCGGCGGATCTTTGTATGAACTGTATCTATCGTATGTGGCTCTTTGTATGAACTGTATCTTTCATATGTGGCTGTACTGTACTGTATCTATTGTATGTGGCTCTTTAAATTTGTATCAACTGTATCTATTATATGCGGTTCTTTGTATGAACTGTATATATGCGGCGACTCTTTGTATGAACTGTATCTATCGTATGCGGCTGTTTGTATGAACTGTATCTATCATATGCGGCTCTTTCTATGAACTGCATATATCGTATCTACCATATGCGGCTCTTTGTTTGAACTGCATATATCGTATGCAGCTCTTTGTACGAACTGTATATATGCGGCGGCTCTTTGTTTAAAATGTATCTATCGTATGCGGCTCTTTGTATGAACTGTATCTATCTTATGCTGCTCTTTGTATGAACTGTACCTATAATATGCCGCCCTTTGTATGAACTGTATCTATCATTTGCTGTTCTTTGTATGAACTGTATCTATCGTAGGCGGCTCTTTGTGTTATATGATACGCCCACATTTGTGGACCAAGCCTCAGCCTATTCATGTACGATGTACATACAACTTGTTCCTTAGACATTTTCACATGGACTGAGTACGATTTTTCATATGACGTTACGATTTCAAGACGTCCGCAATGACGTCATAATTGGTTCCTGGTTCACAGTACGACAATAGGCCGTCTTGTAATATAAAATGGGGTTTTATATTTGTAGCACATATAAATGTATAAATACTCTTTGTATGATGTCTAATACTTCTTAAAAAAAAATTAGCATTTAGTGATGTTTGTGTAATGTTATCATATAATGTCTTCTGTATATAATGAAAAATGGATATAAAACTAAAATTCTTTTTTTAAAAAAATAAAATGTATTAATTGGGTACAATTGTCATGTATACTACTCTGTGTATAACATGTGCCACAGTGTTCTCTTTGTGTAACATTAACATTTTGTGATTATCATGTTTCCTGTAATTCTCTTTGTATGCATTGTCCTTAGTACGAATCTATAAAATAATGCCTTTTGTATCTATCACAAACTATATTGGTTACAGACAAATATAAATGAATAAGCCTACCATAATATATAATATGAGGTAATTTATAAATCTTTTTAAATATTTTTTTCTATTTGCACTAGGTATGATAGCATCACAAACTGTTAGTATTGAAATGAAACAATGGTTTGGTAAGAATCACGCAGAATATATTGTAAGTAGTGCCAGTCTATACATTTGAACCACTGCCACATACTCGAATTGTTTTGGGGTTTCTAAAGCGTAGTCGCAATTTACTACAACGTTTATATTTTGGCTTAGGTGGCTAAACGATTTAATGCGTACTCTTTAGATCTCAAGGTCTGTCATTGAGTCAAGTGGTGTGGTTTCGATTCCCCACTTGAACGTGAAAAGGAGTAAGGTTGTCTTTCCAGACTCGTAGATTTTCTCGGGGTCCGTCGGTTTCCTCCCACTGATAAAGTTGAACCATATGTTAGTCCCGAAATGACATAGTTTGTGTCGAATGGATGTTTAACCCCACTTATCTCTTTTATTGACAGAGCGCTTATGGTCTTACTGAATTTTTAGCTGGTTTAGTAACGTCCCCTGCATTTTCTACTTTTGATAAGTTCCTGCGGACATCAGGGTATCCGGTATCCCACATAGAGGTCAGTATAAATATTATGAACTTGCATTGGATAAAACACAAATTACAAAATGTCAGTATGTTTGCTTTATGCTATTAAAATGGGTTCGTCCGTCGGCCTGTCTGATGATGAGCATTTTGTACTATAACTTAATGCTTTGGGTCAAGATACCTTTGAGGGACTTGTGAATTCGATACCTTGACTAATTTCGATAATGAGCATTTTCTACCAAGTTAAGGCGGAGTGATAAGCAAAGTTTGATAACTTTGGCGAAACTTGGTGTATATGGTTACAGCATATCAATACCCTGATGATGTACATATTCGGCAATAAGTCTTCTTCTAATTGAGGTAGAATCGTGAAACTTGGTACGAAAGTTGATTTGGTGAAATGCCTTGACTGAGTGCGTTGACTAACAATTTCCACTAATGCTAAACAAGCAACTTGATTGACCGATGCTTTTGGACACGATAACTTTCATCCCAATTGAACGTGACCGACGAAACTTGGTGTATATGGGTAGCTTCACTACATCACAACCTTGACTAATATGAATATGAATATTTCCTGCTTAGGCTAAGCATAGATAAGCAGTTCAGATGTTCGATGATTTATATAAGATAAATGTACAATTATTGATATGCAGCATCTATTTCGGGATGGTGGCTGGGGTGGGGATTATCAGCCTCACATTTGGCTTAAGTTTAGGTTTAATACCATAATTCTATAGAAAAAGGCCCAAATTTGTGTGCATTTGTACAATATTTCCTAACATGCCATCTTCACTCTTTTTATTAAAATATTTTCTAATATAATTACGAGGAATTTATGGTCTCTTTCTAACTTGTGTTTGCATTTTTTCTTTTACAAAAGTGTAAGTTGGTGGATGATACTGGTAGTATTGTTCCAGTTGAGAGTATAGGTGAAATTCTATTAAAAGGGTGGTCCATGACCATTGGATATTTTAACGTTGATGGAGAACCTACGCCTGTAGCAGATTCTGGTGGTTGGTTTCACACAGGGTAAAACAAATGATATTTACAAATTCTTTTTTTCTGTATTTAATTTCAGTTAATCTGAAAGTTGATATAATTGGTGGTAAATAGAAATATTTTCAACATACAAAGACTACACTAAATGATTGAAATATTCATATAGGTCAGCCGTCGTCCATTCATCCCTGTACTGTATGAACAAAGACTAGTAATCAGTTCGCCTATTTAAAGCATTTGCCTCCACATCCCCTCCTTTTTCATGTCAATATTTGGTCTAAAAATCGAGGAAGAATGGTAGAAATTACATTTTCCATCAGCATTTGGTGAATATTGAGGCGGAAGGATAAGGAGGTAAACAAACTGACTCCACTGCCTATATATGCTTTAACATGGGCTATTTATCCATTTAAAGATCGAGATCATCGGGATGTTAATAAACAAACTTTTATAGGACAATATAACTTCTATGAGTCCATATACAAAATCTACATAGTTCAAAATGTGATTGTGGTTTTGTCAGGGATGTAGGTACCATGGATGAAACTGGTCATGTAGTTATAATCGGAAGAAAAGCAGATGGTATCAGATTTAAACATTTTGGGGATGTCGTCTATCCACAAGTAATAGAAAATATTGCACACCAACACCCAGCTGTGAATGACGCTGTTGTAAGTAGGGGTCTATGTGTTGATCATGAAAACCAGGCTATTGGAGAAGTGCATACCCCATTTCAAGACGATTGTATGGTGCAGGATGTTTCTATCCATAGAATTGCAAACAATTTTAACATCAAAACAATTTACATGGTCTTGATGACTATATATTACTAATAAAATTCCCCTCAAAGCACACTGCATAAGTTGTGCTGAAAAACTTGGACGTTAAGTCAATATTTCAAACCAATTCGCTAATTAAACCCCGTCAGTGCTACATTTTATAGACTAGAGATGTAACTGTAGACCATTTTAACAGACAAACGATGACCATACCCCCAGCTGGATTGCCGCTTCCTGCAGCAGGTACTGAACTCCGATGCGTCACCGTACCCCCCACCCACGCCAATCCACACACGCACTTTCTCTCCATCACACACATTTTCCGCGAACGCCCTACTACGCCACTGTTCAAGTGGGCATGAGTATTAAAACCACGGGAAGCATAATTCGACAGAGTAGAGAATGGTCCTACAAGCAACGATGCAGGAGCTTATCCATTGTGCATAGATTTCACTCCGTTGTTGTTGATGGTGATTCTTCATAATCATAATTGTATTATGTATATTACTTTACTAGGTTGTTGGAATAGCTTCTGATTTTGAAGGAGATATTATTTGTTTATGCGTGAGGTAAGTACTCTTCACAATTTAACTATTTCATTCTTCGGCTGTTAACGAAAAGGTAAACAACACAATTTAAAACATTAGTCGAATTAGTCCAATAACGATTCTTGTAACCAACATTATCAATGTCAGTGTGTACAAATAGCGTATCAAAATTCAGTGAATTTTTAAGGGTTTTCAAAATTGATCAAGATAACAGCAAATGAAAATTCCATCATTTGTATTACGGTATTTTATTCTCATTTTAATTAACATTTTAAATACCTGCAGTTTAAAACAAGATGAAGGACAAGTTTCGGGTGAAGAATTGCTGTCGTTCTGTGATGAACAGGTAAATGAACATTTACAATTTAGTTATTTTATTTATAATGTAATTCAACATAGAGGACATTAATTATTGGATTTCATTCTTCACTATTAGGCTGATTTGCTACATTATTTGACTATTACCAGTAAAGATGTTTTAACGGACTTCCTTTGTACTGGACACACACCTTTTAATACTTTTGAAAGTCTTTCTAAAAGTACGTGACGGATTTTAAAGTACTTTACGCGGGGTATTTCACTTCTGATTTGAGGCTACACGGTAGAATAAAAATAATAATTTTGTGCTGTGTAAACTTGGTTGATTCCAAAATACATACTATGACGCAATGGAGCACACCATTGATTTGACCTACATGATTGCAGTCTGGTTAATTACCGGCAAAAGAAAATCAACGACACCCCTCGGTGGTCATAACAACTTTACTTTTAAGTGAAAGATAGACGCAATAGCCTAAATCAAGTCAGTAACGAGCACAAAACCCCAAGCAACACCATAATAAAGACCCTGGGTGGCTGCCTGTGAGATCATTATTCTCAACGTAAAAGAACAGAGTTGGAATTAGGAATACGACGTAGCGCCGCTGTCTTGGCAAAAGTTATCTAATAATACACTTCATGGCGAATGGCCGTCTTCTCATGAAGAACAGTATGACGTTAAACCCCATTTCATTTTATTTCATTTCGAAATAATAGTGGGCTGTAGCGCCACTGTCATGGCAAAAGTGCCATAAATCCACTTAATCTGTGTAGAACAGTTAAGCCCCATTTAACTGTATTTCATTTGTTCATCAACCCATAGTTTAAATATCTATAATGTCATTCATGCGAATCTTACACATTATGGTGTTTTTTTTATCTATGATTACCGGTGATAGGGATTCTGATAATTACGTGAATTTTGGGCTATTTTCAATATGATATACGAATAATAAAATTAATTTTCTTGATGGAAGAATGATAAAGCTTATTTATTTTCAGTTGACCGAAAGAAATTGTCCCGATTACTGCCTTGTGTTTGACAACCTGGCAAAAGTTGGTTCCCGGAGAAAGGTAGAAATCATTTCATTTCGGATAAATTTCCCTACATGTACTGACAATGTCGGTCAGTTGAAATGAAGATTATAAAATGACTGCAACAGGATTCCCTTTCTTTGTACCCCCAGTGGTATCGTTCCGTTCTGCTCCACTAATCCAAATTACCTGCCCTTGATGATTTTGATTCCACGAACCAATCAAAAACAGTTTACATACCAGTCTTAGCTTTATTTTTTACGTTCATCGCAATACAGCAGGCTGTTCGATCCATTATGAGAAGATCTGCAAAATTGATGTCAAAGAAGTGACATGCACACAAAATAATGTCATAAATTTTTTGATAAAGTTTGACACAACAATTCGACGATCTTAGTTACAATAAAAAATGCCAGATACTTCCTTTCGCCCACTCGCGAATTTATTGATTGGTCGATAAAAAAAGCACAAGGGCGGATAATTTGACTGTGTGTCTCCCCCCGTGAATGGGCCCAGGGGTTATTTGAGTAGAAGGGAACGATACCACTGGGGATACCGAGGATGCGGGCGTCCATAATTTGATACGAACGAGAAACTGGATAGTTGTGTAATTGACATTGCCTTTGATCGTTAAGATCAATACCAAAGCCACACTTACATGAAGCAAATAAGAAATTAGTTCGCGTCAAAATGATTTGGTTCAGTGACACAACGAAAAATCCCATCCCAATCCAATACGTTCATTTTTTAAAATGGTTAAGCCCCCCTTTGATAGTTTATTTTACTTTATATGATAATGGAACCGCAGTGGCCCAATGTAGAAGTCACTAGCTCATTAACCAGAAAAGTCCGGGGTTTGATCCCAGTGTTCAGCTGTGCAGGGCGGGGGGGGGGGGGGGGGTATTGTAAGGACAGTGTCTAGTAGGTTTGGGTACGACGAAAGACTTAGGCCTGTGTACACATTGGCACGTAAAATAACCCTTGAAAGTTGGAATCCGAAATAAGAGTCCGTCGTAGCACCGCTTTCCGGCAAAATTTCCCTCATTATACCCTGAATGGCGTGTGCCAGTCTAGTAGGCGCAGAAATGTCGGAATTAAACCCCATTTCATTTTATACATTAATAAATAATGAATTCGAAATAAAGAGTACGCCGTAGCGCCCTAGACCAGAGGAAATGAACTCCATAGCACATTGTATAGCGTCAGTCTGTCTTTATTTGCCCAACCGGTGGAGAAAGGTGGGTCGTAAAACCTCATTTCATTTAACCTATATGATAAACTATTGAGACAGCAGTCATGTCTTCGAGTCATTTTCTTTTTAATTTGACATTTTAGATATCTAGAGCACTTGTTTTAGAAACGGCTAAAGAGCGTCTACAAAACATGGAGGAACATAAAAGAGATAGACTGTGATATATTAGACTCCACTGATTGTCAAGAAGATTGTTGTGTTGTTTTAATACGGATAGTAGATTTGAACAAGTAGTTATGCAGTCTCTAAATAGTGCACAGTAGGCCAATAATATTATTATATGACAGGTTGTCTACATTCAGACAACTTTCATACATTGCCAACAATGATTAATTTTAATATTGATTTTAGATAATGCAAAAATATTTGTCTGCATTCAATGATCTATCATTTCATTAAGGTCATGCCTAGGTCAAATGTAGAGCCTTAAATTTAAGTTTACATTTTTCAAGATAAGGAAAACAAGATAAAACATAGTTATAAAATTTTAAACTGTTATTTTATGATCTTGAATAAAAAATAAATTTTATGATCTTGAATAAAAAATAAATTTTATGATCTTGAATAAAAAAATAAAAATTTAAGCCTAAAAACAAAATTTAAAAAATGCACAATTTTTTAAGGAAACTTGGGCAACATTGAGCATGTTAAACAACAGATAACACCTTTGTTAAAGAAATCAGTGACGTAAGCCAGTGCGAAACTAACTATGTATTGTCATGAAGCTGTCTCTGATAAATGAATAAAACACTGAATAAAGTGTTAGTTAATAGTTCGGTAGATCAAGGGTGAGTAACACTGTCCTCTTATTTAACTATTCAATCAATCCTTCATAACATATCAAATTTTTCTGCTGTACTTGTCTAGGGATACAGGTGTGCTACAGTGTATAGGTTATTATTATCTTCTGTCTTCGTGATTGTGGGTGAACACAGGGGAACAAATTACTTTAAATTTTGTAAAATTGTTTTGTGCTTTATCAAACGGCATAATTGATATTTAACTTTTCGCATCAGTTAAATGGCGTTTCTTTGATGATTGTAATTATGAAATTGGTGTAAACAATGGCCTTCGTCTAATTATGGTATATTCTTCCTGTTTATGTCTCCGCCTTTCTACCCACTCATTCATCTCAACAAAATTAATATTGTTACAGGCAAGACCATTGTTTGTCTTTAATATATTTTTTATCAGTAACCCGTCTCCTCCCAAGCCCCACCTTGAAATACGGTTTTCTAGTCACCAACTAACATTATGACCTAGTGTTAATTTGATCAGTAACTTTGAGGGACATCTTCAGACAAACTAAATCTCATATTTAATACTAATATTTAGTGCTTATATTTACATACTTTTCGAGTATGTTTTTGTCGACGGAAAGCTGTCATTCAAAGGCATGTTGTCTTTTTCAGTTTTCACATGGATTCTATATGACATTGAACACTTGTCTTTATACATGCCTAATGTAATTCACGGTTCGTTTCAAAGAGAAATCACAGAATTATTTATCCATCAATTAGTCCCTTTTTTAATCATCTATTGATTTTAAGTAAAATTCCAGATTCAAAAACTCGACAAACCAGCGGCTGCCAGGCAGGATACGCCCACATTTTCGAGAGATGGATAGAGAACAAGCTAAAAAGAAAGTGATTTTTCCTACAATCAAGGGCCATAATTCAGGAAATTATAATTCGATATGTGCAGATATCGAAAAAAAAGACATCTTTGGGTTATAAACTTACATTTCAAGTTTCAACAAAATCGGATAAAAATTGTGAGAAATTTTATGACCTCTATAGGGTCCACAATCTAAAAACGTGATTTTTCGTACAATCAGGGGCCATAATTCAGGAAGTTACGGTTTGATATGCGCGAATATTGAAAGGAACCGAGATCTTTGGGTTATAAACTTACATTTCAAGTTTCATCAAAATCGGATCAACATTGTGACCTCTAGAGTGTCCACAAGCTAAAAACGCGATTTTTTGTACAATCAGGGGCCATAATCCATGAAGTTATGGTCCGATACATGCCAATATCGAAAGGAACCGAGATCTTAGGAAGATAAAGCTATATTTCAAGTTTCGTTGAAATCGGATAAAAAATGTGACCTGTAGAGTGTCCACAAACAAATTGTGGACGGACGGACAAACAGGGGCGACGACAATATACGTCCACATGAAAATGTGGGCGTATATAAATTCATAAGCATACAATGATAAAAGATTTCTGTAAATAATAATAAAAATGTTCAGCACATATTTCGACGAACAAAAGTGATAAGAAATTACAATAACAAATTTTAAGAAATAAATGTAATCAATTTATATACATTCATATTATTCAATATGTGCTTTTCGACTCATTTTCTTCCATTTTAGATTCCAAAGAGTAGAGATTTATCTCCTTTAACATCGGCTTCTGGTATTAAAATAATATAGCCCTATTAACATGCTACATAAAAACCGTATTCCGAATCCGGATTTAGAGTTCCATTGGTATAAATTAGTATGCAATGTTTTAGATTGATTTCATAGTTGAACATGCCACACCCATCTGAATGACTACATCGTCGAGCGCATTCTATTGGACCTTCTACCACAGCCATAGCTTTCACAAAATTGCTCACCATCCGTACACCACGGCTTTCGCAGTACATTGTATCTAAAAATAATATATTAAGAAAATTTGTTAATTTATTTTGCTTTCGAAATGCAGACTCGGTTTATTTTAGTTCCGGTAAAATTTGTTACCTCAGAAGCACTACCATCCCATGACCTTTGAATTCCGAAATGAACACGTTTTAGTATAAAACACCCTAGATCGCAAATCCTTGAATGTTTATAAAGGAATTCAAACCGAACACTGGTATTGCACATGTGACCTAAATGACAGCAAAGTTCAGATCTGATATTGGATATTTTTGTTGTAATTTTAAGAAAGTTGTCTTGATTAAAACTAAACTATAAGTTTTTGGTAGTATTCTCGCATGAACAGCACCCACATAATATGCAGCAATATAATATCTATCAAGCTTTGCCCAGTAAAACAATATTATTAGTCAGCATTTATCTCAAAACTTCCCACTAGAGAGGTGCATTGTTGGTATAAGTTATATTTTCTACAGGCAACGCTACTGCTGGTCACGTACAACCGGAGAATCAAAACCACGCCAGTTAACTTAATGACAGACTTTATGATACAGCGCGCGCGTGCTAACCATTCGGCTGTGCACCCCACTCCTGTGATGTTTGAAAACCATTTAGTTGACATTAACGAAAGAAAAAGTACTTACGATTCGGCAATTCTTCACCATAAACTTTAACATCACACAAACCCAATGGTGCATCTTTATTCAATTTGGCAATCTCTAGATATCGACCTGCCACAATGTTATTGCAGGTTACAGTATCTGTTCCACTAGTAAATCTTCCTTCGTACCAGAGACATAATTCGTGATCCGTTTGGTTTAAGATAGGACTGCTTAAGTACGTTTTAATAGTGAAGTTCTTTAAACGACCAGCTGAAAATGTAACCAAGATAAATAATATGTCTAATGAACATGACTATGCGCTCTCTATACAGATGGGACGAAAAACCTAAGTACTGTGACCTGTTGGCGTGCACGTAAGATATTTGGGAATTCGAAATACGAGTAGACGTAGCGCCACTGTACGAGCAAAATTCCCCTCATAGCAACCTACATGACGTCATTCCGAAACGTAGGACGGAAAACCAATATCCCGTATACACGTAAAATAATCCTTGGCAATTTTAATTCAATTGCTGTCTGGACAGAATGCCCCTTATAGCATATTGTATTACGTATGTACATATTCGTTAGCCCAGTTGGTGCAGAAAAGTAGAATGCATAACCTCACTGCATTCATTCATTCAAGTATTAGAATGATTTACTTTGCGAAGAATAGTCCCCGTAAGGCCTACCACCAAGGTACAACTATACTTTGCGGATGTCAATTAGACTGAGGCCCCGCCACCCCGAAACTACAATAAATAAAACTAACAGTTGTAAATAAATTCAGCAACGAAATTCCACAGAAATGAAACAATATTTGTGGTACTTACGGAAGTCAAGATTATTACTTATGATAACGGAGGCGACATTAACTGTCTTTCCAAAGTCAACGTACCACCATCTTGTATTATTGTCATTAAATCTGGTCCGACTACAAGTGGTAATGTTGCCATCTACTGCATAACCAGCTAAACTAACATCGGCCGCATACGATTCCTTACAGGTTTTATTAAAAGCATAATCAATTCCTGAAACAAAAACCCTGATAAGTATATTGAAGTTATATCTTTGATAAAAGAGTTTCTCAACCCCAGAATCGTTTAAGCGCCAGGGAGCCGCTGTGGCTTAGTGAGCAAGGCGTTGTATCGCTAACCTGGTGGTCCTAAGTTCGAAAGTTGGTAGAAGTAGAACACACAATGTTTCTCAATCAGTGCTATAGCACAGAATCGCCAAACTTTCGTAAGGGATCTACCACTAGCCACTCATACAATAACACAGGATACTGAAAACATTTTAATCTAGCAACAGTTGTATGATAACGACTATAGAATTTTGCCTTTTAGTGCAGAGTTTAGATTGCGTGTTAAACAGGGGCTATGAATCTTGATACAGGGTTTCTTCTTATAATACGCCACAAATCGAGTCGCCCTCCTTGTTAAGGTAGGCAGCAATCACGTCACTGCATTTTGATCTGTTCTCAAAGTCTTGAATTAAAATGTTTGTGAATGAATCTATGACTAGCCGAACAACCACAGCAAGTTTGAAAAAGAATTTACAGCCAATCCGTGACCGAGACAATAACTCCACTTAATATCAGAATGCGGCTCTGAATTTTGAAACTTCCTTCCTATAACTGGCTGAATAAGGATATGAACAATTAAAAAATTATGACAGGGCTGATTTCCCATGTTATTTTAATAAATAAATGAATAATCCCAGGAAATAGGGAGAGGGGCATCTGAAATTGAGTGTGCACGTGGTGAACACAATACATTCCCGCAAGAAATTTTCTGTATAATTAAACGACTTATTTAATTCCAAGAATCCTGAATTTCGCTCCACTAGAAATAAAACATACATCTTTTGGAAAATATCACATTGGTATTTTCAGATGCGAAAAGGTACTGACTGAATTTGAATAAATCAAATTGTTTATAAAAACTAACAACGCACTTTTTTTTAAGATATATTTTCTATGAAAGATAAATTTGAAGAAATAGGCTATATTTACCAGGACGTGTGAAGGTAGGTCTAAAGGTAAACTGTATAAATATCAGAATATATAATATACATCCACCGTTCATATCTTTACTTCGACGAAAGAGAACAGTTTCCTGTTATATCGACTCACTAACGCGTACAACTCATCAACTGTTTCAATGGCGGTGATATAAATAACAACTGATAGCTTTTTAAACTTACTGAAAACCGCAACGCAGAGAACAAAAGTAACCAATGGGAATTGATTGGTTGAGTCCTTTGGGAAATCCTTACATGATGGTGCGATCAGGTTAACCTGACAATGGCGGTGCCATTCTTCGGATACAATATAATAAAACAACTGATGCGATAGATATCGGATGGCTGACAGTACAATAATAGTAGTACAATAATTTTAATTGGTATGTCACGGGCCTAGTAGATTATTCATATAACTGTATTCCCGTTGGAATATACAAGATTACTCAGACTGTGTATTTGGTGTTATCATGTACAATAATAAATTCTATCCGGCAGCTTCAACGAAACGAGAGAGGAGGGAGATGGGGTTTAACGTCCACACGACACAAACTAGGTCATTTTGGGACTAACATATGGTTCAATAATTTGCTGGCGCGTACGGGTCTTTAAAATATTGATAACATCTCATCGAAGGATCAACTCTGTTTTTAAGTAGATGTGCTATGGATTCGAGACTAAAATGACACGGGTTCCGCCGGGGTCGAGAGATCAGAAATGAAATGAAATGGCCTTTAACGTCCTACCATTTTGCTCCGAACTGGGCCAATAAAGACGGTCGTACGCCATCGAGTGTGCTATGAAACTTTGCCCGGAGAGCGGCACTACGGCCTACTCTTATATCGAATTCCAACTGTCAAGGAATCGTTGACGTGCACGCCAATTTGTAAACGGGACCTCAGTTTTTGTCCCATCCAACGACTAGATAGCTGTCCTTGTCAGGCCTTCCGTACTGCATCACTGACAAGGGGGTACCACGCCGGAAAATCTGGATGAACTTTCTCGACCAATGCAGGCTAGCAAGCCTGCGTCTTACCCACCGTGACCCCCGAGGCGAATCCGGGATAGCACCTGTGCGGCTTACAAGTAAGGCGTTGGTATCCGCTGTCATGATAAATGCAACACCCCTGTTTAGCACTACAAACGTGGCCATAGAAAATAAATTTGTCTCAAATGTTCGAAATATTATGTTGACAAACCATAATATCCACTCCTATTCTTTTTAAAAGTAATTGCCTTTTGATAGGCAATGGCTTTGTTCCCTTTTGTTTTGACGCATTAAGTAATGTTTCAAGAAATGTGTTGTGCATACGAAAATTTCAATTTTTAAGTCATATTTTTAAAATTTATTAAAATAAAGCCTTAAAATAGATGGTATCCATAAACAGTCCTACCTTGTTAAAGAATCACCCGATTAGATTTTATTACATACTTCGAGAAGGTATTTGTTGAGTAATAAAACCTTCTAGTAGTTTATCGAGGGCTGGCCGTCGTTACCGCACGGTACAAATAAAACCTTCTAGTAGTTTATCGAGGTTCGGGTGCTTCCGGAGTCCAAAATGGCCGCTTTATATAAATGAGAATTTTGGGGATAACTAACCCGAACCCTAACCCTAAACCTTTTTAAAAGACTGAACTTGGGTCTAATTTAGTTTTTACTTCTCTTAAAAGGGTCAGGGTTAGGGTTAGTATTCACCGAAATACTCATTTGTATAAAGCGGCCATTTTGGTATGAGTTCTGGCTTGTTCTGGAAATTGTTGCTTCTAGTGGTGATAATATTTGTACCGTGCGGTAAGGACGGCTAGCCCTCGATAAACTACTAGAAGGTTTTATTACTCAACAAATACCTTCTCGAAGTATGTAATAAAATCTAATCGGGTGAAAGAATAATCATATTAATCCTATAATTCACTATTGCCAGCTGAGAAATTGGCAAAAATATCATTTTCAACTTCAAACTCCAACGTTGAGGAAATGGCTGACCATTGTTTTCAATAGGAAAACAAGGGAGGAAATTGTGTTGTCATTTCCTGTGTACATGAGTTTTAAGTGTAAGAATGATACCTATGACCGTATAATAGTGAGTTGATAACCTATTGAGCAAAAGACATAGAAATAATTATGTTTTGATTTCTTAGAAAATATGAAATTCTCGCTTTAACCGTGATCCTTCGTACACTATCTAATCATACTTAAAGATGCATTTTTTATTTGTAACCAGAAAAACTCTTTCCTTATCTTTCCAACTTATTAGTTTGAAAGTCTTAACAAAGGGCCAGGAAAGAAATTAAGAACATACTTTATGAAAAGAAAACTATAAAATATTTAAGACTGGTACTGTTCGCCTCAAAGATGCTTTTGTCTCAAATTGGTCATGGGAATTATTATTATAGATCGTAGTATGTTTTCATTATGATACTAATGAAAGCATGGGCACAATGTTGACAATCTGTAAATTATGACCAACACGGGAATATGACTTGATGTATCAAAACAAGGTTTTAAGATTTTTTTACTGATTGTTAAAGTACAGCTAGAGGATCACCTTGTTTATGTATAATGGTTTGCTTTATCAAACAGAACAAAAGACCAATGACATAACCATCAAGCGAAACACCCCAATGCACCTAGTATACTATTCAAAAAAAGTAGGGGATATTTGATTTTGGGGGCATAATACTAAAATATGCAAATGACTACGAAAAAAGTCACTATAGAACCTAACAGAAGAAACATTTCCAGTTACATGTGACGCCCAAACGCACCAATAGCTACCGCATGGAATGCAGGTGATGCTTGGGATCATCATGGGGGTCCAACCCAAGATTTGCACGACTCTGACTTTGAATGTTACAGTCATTGTGGCATTGAATTCCAGGGTGGAAACATCAGTTTAATTGTTTTAGTGACCAGAAAACAAATTTTGATATGCGTCGGCTTACCCAAAATGAAAGGTTACGTGTCCTTGGCATGCTACAGATCGGCACAACACAGGCGGTTGTGGCGCGGACGATGAATGTTTCTCAGTCTGTCATAAGCAGGCTATGGTCCAGATACACAATCTGTACAGGACAGACCACGCTCAGGTCGACCACTCAAGCCCAGGATCGATTTATCTGTACCTTGGCCTTGAGAAATCGTGTCATCACAGCAAATCAGATCAGCGCTCGTCTTCAAACAGACACTGGTGTGAGAGTGAGTGGCCAGACGATTCGGAATCGACTGCATAGGGGTCACCTTCGCGCCCGACGTCCTCGCGTGATCCCTTGTTTGAGAGATCATCACATTCAGGCAAGACGTCGTTGGTGTAGGGATGGTCAACACAGGGGTAATCGACGCTGGAGCAATGTCATGTTTTCAGATGAGTCAAGGTTCACTGTTGATTTTTTGGACAGACGTAGGAGGGTGTGGCGTCGTCGAAACGAGCGCTTCCTAGACGTTAACGTCATCAGACATGATCGATTTGGGGTGGTTCTGTTATGGTGTGGGGAGGCATCACTGTTGCTGGAAGAACGGCTTTACATGTTGTTGCAGGGCGTGTTACAGGCCAGTACTACCGGGACAACATCTTGGCAGTCCATGTTGTGCCGTTCGCACGACGTCATGGCCGCCGTTTCATCTTCCAGGATGACAACGCAAGATGTCACAGGGCCAGGATCGTTACAGGTTACCTCCAACAACAGAACATCACCACATTACCGTGGCCAGCACTGAGTCCCGACCTCTCCCCCATCGAGCATGTCTGGGACATGCTTGGACAGAGGTTACGTCAACGTCAACAACGTCCTGCCAATGTCCAAGAACTTGCTGCTGCGTTGCAACAGGAATGGGACAATCTGGACCAAAATGACCTTAGACGTCTCATTACGAGTATGCCACGTCGGATCAATGCTTGTTTGGCAAACAGAGGAGGATTTACCCGTTACTGACTTGGTTGTGATGCTGTGGTAACTTTGCTGTTTGACCCCGGGTATCATTTTACCCTTTTAATGGTCAGTCTGTGCCTTACTTAGTGTAACGATCATTTGGAATAAATCGATGAATGTGAACTTCATTTCATTTTGTCATTTGTTTCTTCGTCAGTTTCATTAGGTGACTTTAATAACACTTAAAAATCAAATATCCCCTACTTTTTTTATACGTCCACATTCATAATGTGAACGTATTATGCCGTCGCCCCTGTCTGTGTGTGTGTGTGTGTGTATGTATGTATGTATGTGTGTGTGTGTGTGTGTGTGTGTGTGTGTGTGTGTGTGTGTCTGTGGTTCGCCTACAGGGCGCAATTCTTCATGGATTTTCTTCAAACTTGGTATACTTATTCCTTATACCCCAAGGAAGATCCCTATTGTTTTTGGTGCATGCCCGACCCCCAGGGGCAGAGCCACGCCCATTTCTTGTATTTGTTTGTTTGTCATCTACAGGTCGCATGTCTTGGCTTATCATCTTGAAACTTTGTATATTTATTCCTTTTACCCTAAGGAACATCCCTATTGTTTTTGGTGCATGCCCAACTCCCAGGGGCAGAACCACACCCATTTTCTTTTTTTGTGTGTGTGTTGCTTATAGGCCACAATTCTTAATCAATCGTCTTGAAAAATTTTCATATTTATTTCTTATACCCTAAGGATGACCAAATTTGTATGTGTCTTGTGTTTTGCCTACAGGCAGCAATTCTTAACAGATCCTTTAGAAACTTTCCATACCTATTCCTTATACCCTAAGGATGACCCCTATTGTTTTTTGGTGATTGTCCCACCCCTAGGGATAGAGCCACACCCATTTTTTTGTATTTATCGTCTGCAGGCTGCAATTCTGAATGGATCATCTTGGAACTTTGCATATTTATTCCTTATACCGTAAAGACAGCAACTATTTATTTTGGTGAATGCCCGATCCCCTGGGGCATTGTCACACCCACTTTTTTGCCTTCTTTGCTTCTTGTCATATTACAGCCATTTCATATTTCATTCTCTTCATTTTAAAAAGTACCATATCAATCAAAGCAGGAATGTGGACGTATATTGCAGCGTTAGCAATGCTCTCGTTGAATAGTATATGTTGTGGAAAATCTAGATCATGTATCTTATTGGTTTGTTTACCACACGTTCCTAATCAATAGTGACGCATATAGCCGGATTA